CCCAGTTAATAGTAATTATGCAGTATAAGTGCTTTAAGTAAGTTAATGAGACAGATCTGATAACGAGTTGCTGTCTCATCATAAGCTTCTTTTCACGTTAACATCACGGGACACGGTTCTGCATTGCCTTGCCCTCCACCGAGTCCAGCTTTGTCCCTGTTCACATCCATCTCCCTCCATTTAGCGCGGGGGGTGTGGAATTCAGCTGTTTGCATTAGCAGGTGAATGGTTAACAAATGTGGTGTTGCAAAAATGAGAAGGCATTAGGAAGCCAACAGCACTAATTGGAATGAATTTTGCTATTTCCTTCTAATTCCGCTGTTATTTCTCCTAATGCTAGGGTGTTTATCTCAATGTGAAATACGGTCTGCGTGTTTATGAGGAAGTTGAGAAGCCAGTTTTATAATTATTTGCGTGTCTTCAGTAGCGTTTTCAAGTATGCACGTAGCAGAATACTGATTAGCTCTCTTATATGTAATAAGTATTTGGTTGTCTGCAGGTGATCTTGAAGAGAAAATATAGGTAGGGTGGGTTTTTTCAGCCTCTGATGTTCAATTAATGTAGGGTACCACTTCTTCCTGGGGCCTGTTGTCATCCAGTGAAGTGACACAGTGGGGTCATTGCTAGTGGAATCTGCTGTGCCTGGAAGGAGAATGTCATAAGGGAGCAAGAAATCAAGGAAATAGCCTCTGATGCTTATCGCTTTGTGAGTTTTAGGTTGCTGTCATAGCTAATGGGAAAGTCCCAGGTAAGGTAATAAAGAAAAAAGCTGACAATATTCTTGGTCTTTATTATTCCAGCCAGTCTCCTTTTAAACTTGGTATGAAATCGAAACTCGCGGTGCACTGCTTGGAACTGAGTTTGAGATCAATGAGGAATTTCATCGATGCATCTAATTGCCTTTTGCTTTGGTCTCACCACCTTGGTAAAGACAAGACCCTTATAAATAATTAGGTTTGGTACTAGGCTGCGGAAATGCTACTAATGTATTCTACTTTTTGTTTATTCCCTCAAGTGCATCAGCGGGTGATGTGTAGACTGCTTACGTGAGAAAAAGTGATACGTGAAGATACTCAGAAAGATTAGATGTACCAAGTAATACTGAGATTGATCGCAGAGCCGTTGGTAAATCGTACATTAAGTTTGGTGAAATCTGTGTCTTCACACTGTCTTTATGATACCTAGCAAATCTGCCAGAAGTGAAGGAATCATCATCAATTGTGTCCGTGGCTGTTGGCTGTAGGTCTTAAGCTATGGCTGCTTTTTTCCCTTGATCTATTTTTCTTTTTATTTTTCCTTCCTTTTTTTGGTAATAGCATGTTTTAGGCAGATTTTCTTCATATAAATACAGCTACTCTGTAGAGTGGATTTGCCAAATGGAGAGAATTAGCTGGAGTTTTTTGACAGCGTTCAAAACACAATGTTGCCTCTTTTCTTTTTTTTTTTTTGCAGTTATTGGGACAGAAACGTTCAAAATACAATGTTGCCTGTTTTCTTTTTTTTGCAGTTATTGGGACAGAAAAAAATGCTTTAAATATTTTTAGTGAAACAAGGTTACACTGGAACATCTGTCAGGTGTAATGTGGTCTAATCCAGAGGATCAGACCAGAGCTGTCTAATCCTCTCTGGGATGACTGTACCAGTAAATTATCCTGAAGAAAGGGTTTCTTTCTGTAATACATTTCGCTTTGGAGTGACTGCATGCCTGACCCTTTTAAGTCTACAGTAAATGCAGAATAGCTTACTGCAATAAAAGGAGCTCGCGTTTATTGCAGAGTGAGAATATTCACACTGGCAATCACCATGGAGTAGATGATGTAGTATAATTTCACACTCCTACTTTTCTTTCTAGCTGACCTTTCTGCCGACAGTGTAAGTCTGAGCCTGAAGCGCACTCCATAAAAACATCCACTCGATTGAGGTATCCATTCAACACTCCAAAGTTGTCTGTGTCACGTGTTTAGTGTTTCTGTAGCTCTCCTTCTTTTTCTCTTGTAAAATGGGGGCAGAAAGGCCAGTGTGGGTAGTTAGGGGTAGCCCTTCTGGGTGCAGTTAATCCGACAGTGGCATAGCCTGGCAATGCCCAGGCTTTGGAGGATGGAGAGGGTTTAAGGAAATAAAGGCAGCTGAGAGATGTGATCACTTACCAGAGATCTTTCATATAAATTATGAAAAATAGCTACAGAGAATTATAGCTGTAGGCTTTCAGATAATAACCCTCTCAGGGGAGAAAAAAAATGAAACGAAGTGACACTCGGTTCTGAGTTTCATTACCGAGCTGAATCATAATTCATGGTTCTGTTAAAACTTCCGGGACGGTTTGCAAATCTTGATGAAATTGAAACTAAGCTTGATCGTATTTAACCAATTTGAGCTTTTTGGCTGCTACTTTGCTCCAGGAGTATTCCTCTGCAGTAAGTTTCCGGGCCATTTCTGTCTGCAGTCAATTGCCCAGTACTGTCAGGGTGCAGGGAGTGTGAATTATTTACCGTCAGTTTTTGGGCAGTTATCCCTCATCAGAATCGATACAGCTTGCGAAAGCCTCCTCTGCCAAGGTAGTTCTCCCTGTGAAATCAATAGAAATGGCCTAGCAGGCAGGCAACCAGCAGCCTGTGTTCTCCTGTTCCCATTCCCTGTTATTCCTTGAAATCGGACTTCCCTTGGCTCCTAATGCCAACCACCTCCAGCAGCTTATCCTCAGTCCTGACACAGTCTGGCCGCACGGAATCTCCCAAACACCCTCCAATGTTTTATTAAGGGTTTTTTTTGTGGATCCATGTGCAATACAATAAGCTGGAGTCTTGGAAAGGACTAAGAGAACGATGTTTGGAGAGTTGGTGCAATATCTTTTCCCACCAGATTAAAATAAACTTCTTAAGTCTCAGGGGCGCAGTCTTAGGAGCTAACAGGAAGAAACAATTTATTTTAATGTTTCCTGATTGTTTGAAGTGCAGTACAATGCAAAAGTTGGTAAAAATAAACACTCCTGCTCCTACTGCTTTTGAAATTTTTGGTGCAAATAGATTCCCATTGGAGGTAGACACTTCACTGGCCACAATTAATAGTTAATGCAATTGCCCATGCTTGGATCCTGAAGAAACATGAGAAGTCAGGTGAAGTTCAATAGTTGGGTAGAAACCCCTCCTGGAGCAAAATATTAGACAGCAGCAAAGGATGTAGGTGATAAAGCAGTCCTGTGAAAATATCGGTGTGGCGCTCTGTCGTGATTTTTAAAAAATCTTGTTAAGACTTATTACAAAAAGGAGTAGGGTAGAAAATGGAGAACTTCAACACAGTATTATTGTACGGCACCCTGGTATATCACATTATCACGCCTTGGTTTGGAGGCTGTGGAAAGAACAAGCAGAGGTGATGAGTGGCCGTGACACAAGGATGAATAAACTAGAGCTGTATCATTCAGAGAGCGATATCTGAGAGACAGTGTGTTAGGAGATGTATATAATTAGGAAGTACCCAGTCAAAGACAATAAAAGATGGGTGTTTATGGCCTTCTCCGGTGTGCAACAACAGAAACAGGCAGAATGCAGGTGCAAAGCAAAGGGAACGCTCCTTATTAAGGGTCACTTTAGTTGTACAGAATAAAATCTTACACAGGTTTAAGATTGTCCTGATCCAATGCAGCCATTCCTATGTTCCTAAAGTCAAATACTTATGGTTCTCCTTATTTAAAAGTTGTTTTTCTCCTCCCTCATGCGTGAACAAACTCCATTAGTATATTCCATCTCCTTATTTGCGTCTAATTTAGATGATGTGTTGGCGTTCTCTACATTGCCCCTGAAACTGTGATGTAATCCTGGGATGTAAAATGAAGGAATTCAGTAGTAGAAACCCGAGATCATGATGAGATTTTGTTCCTTTGCTGTCAAGTTGTTCACAGGGTGGCAGTGTCTGTGCTCCATTAGGACTGTATCTCCTTTGGGTCTCAACGTGCTCTCTCCACTGCTTTCCTTAACATGAGCATCTTGGTAAGAATTGAAGTGGTTCAAATCCTGTATTTTCTTACTACTTGAGACCAAGAACTGAGCGCAAAGTTTCCAGGATAAGCATCCATACGGCATAAATGTATTTCAAAGCGTAAATCGCTGCTGTTTCTTGAAATAAAACGCTAACACGCTTTGGTTTTAAATGAAACAGATTTTATGAAACATAGTTTTAGAAATGTGTGAATTCTTCATGTGTCAGCCAGTATGCAAAACATCACTCTGAAGTGGGTTCTGCAATTCTTTCAATGGATAAAATTTTGATGAGAGAGTACCTCAGTTTGGGTATGAATCAATGGTGTTTGCTAACAGTCCAATCATGCTGAATTATATTTGCAGTACTGTTTTAAATGAGTACTTTGTGAATATAATTCTAATTGTATGACTGTTATTCTTCTCTCTCTCTTTTTTTTAATAAACATAATTGTTAGGAAAATATTCTAATCTGATAAAAATAATTTTTCCATTTTTAACTCCCAAAATATATTGGAAGTATATGAGTCCGAAGCTGTGAAAACTGCTTGCAAATACAGACCTTTTACCCCAAATTAACTCAGTTTCGGGTGTTCTGATTACAAGATCATCTTTTATCTTCCTGTAAGCAAACAAGGAAGAAGACAGAAAAAGGGGGAGTTTAGGGTCTGTTGCGAAGAGCTCACAGTGATGAAATTTTGTGAAACCAATCAAAGGGGTGTAATTTCTTAAACAATATTTGCCACATCGGGGATTTCAGGGTGTGATTCTATCCCAGACTTGTCAAAAGCAGAAGTCATTGCGCTGAAGCTGTAGATGTTCCGTGTTTTACTGGTATTAAACTGATTTGGGGTGACAGACCATTTCCGTGCGCTTTCGAAACAGGCCGTGTTGTCATCAGTGTGTTTAGGATATTAATAAACGTTGTTTGTATATAATCTGCTCCTAAGTTATAAGCAAGGTTGTTTGTAATGCTTATGCTAATGTATGGTAAGGAGAGATGTGTGTCAGTCCTTCCAATACGGGATGCCAAATAACAGAGGTGTGGAAGGGACTCATTACATCTCGGCTACAGAAGTGTTCCTCACGTTTTCATGGGTACATGTGTTTGAGAAGGGCCCAGTAGGGGTTTCTTTAATTTTATCTTCCTTTTAGGAAGCGTATTTTCTTGTAAAAGCCTTCTAACTAAATTACTTCAGGCTTGGGTATATCACCTAGCAGAACTTTAGAGCAGCGAGTCTTAGGTCGAAATTAAGTTGAAAATAGCCTTCAGCATGATAAATATTTCTATTTGGACAGAACCTGGGGCAATCCTTCTAGCCTCTGACAGAGCCCCTAAGGGGAGCTGGCAACTGTTAGAGCAGAAAGTGTGCAAATCTTCAGCCTGGCAGCAGATAGAGTAAATATGTGCAGTGTAACCCAGCAAATACGTGAAGGCTTTTAGTTAGAGGTGTGTAAATGTTTACAAATACGATTAACTGCAGAGCACAAAATCCATTCGCAGCATCAAAGGCAAAACTAAAATTACTTTTTCCCGCCCCCTTCCAGGATTATGCTGAAAAGAAAAGCACGATAGCAAAAGCTCTGGAGGACCTTAAAGCCAACTTCTACTGTGAACTCTGTGACAAGCAGTACTATAAACACCAGGAGTTTGACAATCACATTAACTCTTACGATCACGCTCACAAACAGGTAAGAGAAATCTGCTTGCTACTTCAACTTAGTTTCAGGTAGAATAATGAAACGAGACATCCTTCAGGTGGGTTTGGATATCGCCGTTGGCAGTTGTGGCCAAATTTCAGGATTTGGGAAGCAAAATACGTTGTTTTAGAAACAAAGCTTTACATGAGATTTTACAGTCGAAAATCCTGAGATGGAAAGAAGGGGAAATGTGAACAGTTAAGTTGTGGAGAGGAACAGGGAATGATGAAAAATACGATGAAAAATGTAAACTTACAATTTCCTTGTTATCAGTTTAATTTTTCATATAAATAAATACTGTGGTATGCCTGGGAGATTACAGAGAAGCATTTGTGGCAGCAGATGTGCATGGGAAACTTGACGTACACTTCAGTAAACTTTCTTTTTGCACAGGTACAGATCTGAAATAGACTGTTATCAGTGCTCTGAACATAAAACACCTGCCGTAATGAAAACTTCTTGGCTCAGCTTGCAATAAGCTTTGTGTGAACTTTAAAACGTGGGTATTTACGTTTTTACCACCACGTTTTATCACCGCACCCCCAAGTTGTGTCCCCTGCTTGGGTGACATAAAAACAGTGCTTCCGTGTAACAAGTGAGGCAGTGCATCCCAGTGCAACATCCTGGTCTCTGCAGGGGCCAGGACGCTGCAATTCGGAGCAAAATGCGGTGCATCTTGACCCCACTGAAGAGATATGTGATGATTATGTTAATTTGTGTAATAACCATGCAGGAAAATTCTGCATTGTCCACTTAGCTGGAAATTATTCTGTATCTTTTTCTCTGATGAAATCTTATGGTTGTGGATCTGGATTGATTGCTTTTCATTCTCATTCAGTCTCCCCTTGTCCTGTAGTTCTGCTCAGGGGGAATGTACATGAATTGCTGTGTGTTTTGTACCTGTATTATGTAAGCCAGTGATTTGCTTTTCTTTCCTTCAGCTCTTCTCCCTGGAATGCTCCCCCCTCTCTCCCACTGGTGTTTTTATTTAGTGCGGAATTTACACTGTCAGCTTTACATTTTCTAAGTGTTAGGTTTAGTTTGAGAACTGCAGAGATGTGGACCTCATCAGCACCAGCCATCTGTGAGAAACTGGAGGGAAATATGTATTTGATAAGAAATTAGCGGGTAGCTTCATTGCATCCTGTGGGTATTTGGTGTGAGGTGGGAATGTTTTTAGCTAAAATACAGCTAGAACTGGTTCTTCAGGCATTATGTTTGCACAGCAGCACCTCATTGGTGGAAGGCAGGAAAAAAGAAGCGATGGGCAGTCTTCCCCACTTGAACTTCCCTTAGCATTAGGGTTGTGGTTTTAGGTGCTCTGAAGCATCTTTAAATGATGGGAACGTGAAGGCTGCAGTGTTCATTCCTCTATTCAGTATTGGTGAAAAAGTTTTTGGGAAACTGAGGTCAGGTGTGAGACTGAACCAGGGACTTGCTTCCAGTGGCTCACAGAGCTGCTCAAGTAAACTCTTCTGGAGCGGTTTTTATGGTGGCTTCTATTGGTGTTGTAAGGATAAACCATTCTTCTTCCCATATTTCGGGTGAAAAGAGGGGCAGGCAGCACATGCTGCAGTGCAGGCTCACTCAGAGTTGCTGAACTTTCAAGGAACTTCATACCACGTGCCTTTTTTGAGCAAACTGATTTTACGACATTTGCTAGAGCCGTTTGCAGGTGCTACGGTTGAATGCTCTGATTTTGTCTTGGAACATCCTTCCTCAATGGCAGAGATTCTCCAGCACTTCGGTGAGAGGAACAGATAACCCATCTCTGGATTTAGCTTCATATTTTTCTCTAACTTCCTGCCTTCAATCACACCTTTCTGCTTATAATGGACAGGTAAGGGGAAGCACTTACTAGAAAATGTTTCCCACGAGCCAGGAATAGCTGTAAGCATATGCAGCCAGTTCGGTTTTGCTGATCCCAGCTCCTGGCAATGGTTTGTACATGATCAAATGGATGAAACCTCTGCCTAAACCCGAGTTCATCCCAGTTGTTCTGACAAGCTATATTTAATCCTAATTGAGCACTCTGTTATCACAGCATCTCAGCCATGGGCTGGTTTGTCAGACAGAATGTTCGTAACAGCTTCTACACCTCAATTTTATTTTAGAAGATTGACTTCTTTACTTTCCATTGAATAAGAGGTGGTTAGCACAGAAAATCTGGATGGAATGTGAGATACTATAATGACATGGGGTTTATCCTCCGCTTGATGGGGGCCCAGTACTGTCAGAGATTGATTGTGTTTTGATTTATTGTCTTATAGCATCTGAATACCCACTTTATGAGGCCAGTCCAGAAAGAAAGGGTAGAAATAGGTGAAAACTAATTTTATTTCCCAGGACCTGAAGCAGTTCAGACCGGTGTCTCAGGATCTCCACTCGCCTCTGTTAGTTTTTTCTTGTCCTTAGCTTTCACAGTGTGGTTTAGAGAGCAATATGGGTAGCCTGATGAAATATTCCTGGAAAAGCAACTCGCGAGCAGTCAGTGGTGATGGAGAAAAATGAACTCTCTTGTTTGCTTTGAAAGCCTAGACCAAAAAAAGGAAAACCAAAATAGAATGCAGGTTTCTTTAAAAATAAAACTGTTGTGGGCTCAATACAGAGAGAAGTGTAACTGAGGCAGAACTGCTGTTATTTAATATAGCCATGAGAGAATTTCTGTTTGATGATGATGGTCTAAAATCACAGAATGCAGCTTCTTAGAGCTATGCCAGGATGTTAAAAAATACCTGTATGATTTTATACAGCATCTCTTAAGTATTTGGAAGTGCACGAGAAGCTCTCTGAAGTGCTGGATTCACGCAGGGTGAAAAAATCCTGCCTGTGTTCCTCGAAACGCTGCGGTTTTGATTAATGTGGCTGGGCATTAAGTCTGAGGCTCTGAATGACCTTCGTCTCGTAGCTGTTCAGAGTCGGTGAGTTGTTTTGTCTTGTTGGTGAAGAAGGCTGGATCACACAGCTAAGTCCCCTACATCAGTCATTCCTCCAGAGACTTTTGTGGCTACAGGAACAAAGTGGTTTTATTCCTGTATTTGAAAGTCTTCCTCTCCATCCCAGAACTTCTGATTTATCGCCTAATATCACAGCAGAGCACCCGGCTTGGTGCTGTTTCATCTCCCAGGGGTGCTCTTCCAAATATCAAACAACAAAAAACAAAAAAAAGGAGAAATCAAAGCTGTGATGAAAACAAAAATTAATAGCTCTAATGCATTTGAATCTAGATATACAAGTACGATCTACTAAGTAAATTGTAAGTAAGAATTTGTCCCCACAGAATCAAAGGTCATTTCTCAAACTGTGTCTCCTTGGATGAAAATTATCTCCCGGGTCTAAAAATGTAGTTAAAATTGTATGGAGGGTCTAAGGCACAAATTATGCACGAAGACTAAATTAGTAGTTGTCGTCTTTTCCTGCTCCAGACACAGCTTTCTCCTGTCTACATTTTTCTCCCCTCCTTACATCTTTTTTCTTTGCACCCTTGTTAAGAGATCAGTGCCAAATAGGTTAGAGACTATCAATGTCAGTCAGAAGTCTGAACTTTTATCATCTTTATGTGTTGGAGTAAATATTTCATGGAATATGGGTGAAGAAAAAGAAATTCCAAACCGGAAGGGTGTGGTTAGGCATAACAATAATAATAAAACCATAATTGTACTCAAGGTGTACCTACTATGAGGTATGAAGCATATAAGGTATAAAGAGGTGCATAGCACATTTGGGGATGCCCGTATTCTCAGCAAAGATAATGGGAAGTTACCGGTTGTTTGACCCTGCAGTTTAAAACCGAAGCAGCAAATCCTTGCAGTCATCTTCACAGCTCCCATCCCATCTCATTGTAGAGTTACTGCCTCTTAAAAAAAAAAATCCCATCCCTTCTACTTGTCGCTGTGTATTTCTCTTCTGCCAGTCACTGTTGACAAAGTGTCCTTGTTGCATTGGTAAGGACTTTAAAAAGTTTGAAGGTGCAGCACTCCTTTAAGCAGCTTTTTAGGACAAAGTTTCTGTATTTTCTCTCTGTCAGGAATGGTCGTGCAGTACAGGGATCCCTCTTCAGTGCTATGGAAGTCTCCTGGCTGGTCAGATCAGGACACCCCCAAGAAAACCAGTTGGAAGGCATGACTTAGATTTTGGACTCTATTTATGGTGTCTGAGGAAATCTGGAAAGGTGTGTGGTTGCCAGCGGAAGCCAGACTTGATCTTAACACGCCTCACTGCTGTTTGTTCTCCGTAACTCCGGAAATACAAGACAGCAATGGGAATTTTCCCCACCCTGTCAGCGTCTTTCTGGTTCCCTTCAATGCACAATGAATTGAGAAGAGTGGAGGGGGGGGAGACACAAAATCCCCAGCTTTGTAGGCTGCTTTTGGGAATAATCTGAGTCTGCAGAGGATGCGCTGCAGAGCATCTGCTGGTGACGAGTAGGTCAGTTCAGGGCACTGCAGTGCATCTGCTGACAGGCCACCTGCAGTTTCTGGGGTTTATATCTCTTTGAAGGGAAATGCGACATGGCCTGGCAGAATTGCAAAGTGAAAGGAATTAACTACTTACCGGGAGCCAACAGTATTTTATGTTGTGTTTTTCAGGCCAGCTTTTTGCAGGTTGCGTTCCCCTGGGACTATTGCAGTCAGACTAAAACCGAGGCAGCACGTTGTGTACCGTCTTGGAAATGCAGAAATAATGGTTCCCAAAAAAGTGTCATCTCTTAGAGCAGTATGTCAACAAAGGGCTTAATCCTAGCACAGAATCAAACCCTAATAGCTTCAAAAATGTTCTGTACATTGGCTTCTTCAGCAAAACGAATGTGATGTGGTGGGTCATAGCTTTGGGGATGTTCAGCACTAAGGGATTCCATAAAATAAGCATATTAAAACTTCTGTTTCTCCAGTTTTAACCGTAGCCCTTCCTGTGGATAAGCTGGAGCTGGTTATTTGATGGAGTAATGGTGCAGGGGATCACCATGAGGGATGGAGAGCATAATGGTGAAG